CTTCTATATCCATGGTACTTGTCATATCGTTGTATTTTTGTAGGCTCAAGGGAGACTGCGTTCCGCGTGTAAAAGACACGAACGGGCTATATATCCTTCTACAGGGTACGCCTTAGTCACTCTTTCACCCCACCCATCGATGGCCAGCCTCAGATCGCAGAGAACTGGCCACCTTAGATCATAAAGAACTGTGTCGGTTGTGCACGGATATAAGATGTGAGGATGTGGGCATGGGCCACTCATTCGATCAGAACCCCACCCAACCCAAAAAGCAAAAAAAAAAACACCCCATCCCACCCCACCCCACCAGGATGTAAGATGTGATGATGCGGCCATGGGCCCATCATTCCATTGGATCCCCACCCACCCCACCCTCCTCAGCTGCCGCTAACGCGTCAAAGAGATGTACGGAGGAGATCCGTGGTGCGTAAGTGATCATGGCTGTGGACTCTGACCTCTGGTGCCTAGTTCATTTTGGCAACTCTTACAGCAGCTTAGAGCTCCGTGGTGCGTAAGTGATCCAAATTTGTGGTGCGTAATTAAGTGATCCAAAACGCCGTGGTGCGCAAGTCAGACAAATCTGTGGTGCACAAGTGATCCACCGCCCGACTACTTTGACGAGTTTCCTTCACCAACGACGAGGGGTTTCCACTTCCATGTCACCGTAGACCTCGTTCCGCAGGAGCCAAATGAGGAGCAACTGTTTGTGCTGTCTCCGAGGAAATATGTTTTCCCGCTCGGGCATTGGTTCGAGCTAGCCTGTCCGCCGTCAGTTGATGTAGCTTCAGTTCCATAGATCCTTCAAGCTGAAAGAGTTCAGTGACCACATCTGAGGGTAAAAAGAAATTGCCTCGTCTCGTGAAAGTTATCATTCGGCAGCTAGCCCATGCATGTGTTCTCCCATCTTAGAGGTCTTTCCTTTTTTGTGGATGTGTTTGCCGTAAGGTGCACCATGGTGCACTCATGGTGTTTGGTGTTTGAACGTATCGTGGGCGGGCAGTTGCTGCGTGGTGTGCTGATCGTTGTGGTGTGCGTAGTCAAGTCGCATTTGGGCAACACAACTGAGGGCTGCAAGTAAGTAACATTGTAATATGATATGGCTGTTTCAGGTGTGCGCTACAGTTGCAGTGTGCCCATGGTGTTCACGATCTTTGGGCGAATGGAGTGTTTTTGTTCCTAAATACGCGTGCCCATCCAGTCGCTGACGTCTTACAGGAAGGGGGATTTGACATGCGATGTAGTTAGATCCAACATCATCCAGGTTGGGACTCTAAGCCCATCCTAAAGATTGCGACACATCCAAGTCGGTGTTCAGGTACTTTTGGTTCCACTGTGATTGGCAAGGTTCATTATTTGTTGCATTATGTTGTCATTATCTCACTACACTCAATTTGAGTGAAACAATGCCTTAACAGCTTGAGCTGTTCCAACCTGTTTTGTTTTGTGTTATATATCCCAGACACTCCATGTATGCCATATATGCCTACATTGGGGTGGTTTGAGGGGTCAATGTAGGCATATATGGCATACATGGAGTGTCTGGGTATTGTTATTTGGTGACATGAGAGTTGTTTGACACCTGGGCTTCGGACCTCAAATGGTTCGGACCGGCGGAAGGCAAGGCCACAAACACAAAACGCCGCCAAGCCTTGTCTAGTCAACAGTCAGACGGTGACGGTGTGCCAGTGCTGAAAAACGAGTTGTGGGTGAATGGAGTTGTTCTTCGTTGATTTACATGGATTTACCGGTTTTTGGAGGTCTCCAAAGATCCTGAGGTCCGACAATTGGAAGAGGCTGGGTCCTTCATGGTTCTATAAGAGGTTCAGACTGGTGGACATGGGTGGAAGGAAGCAACCATTGAAGCTCGCCACTGGCGGCGGGCGCCGAGCGCCATGCGCTAGACACAAAGATCGGACCCTCTGCTACCTGCGACGATCTCGACTGGGCGACGATCACTTGGGAAGCAACCTTTTCTTCTTTTGGGGGCGTAGGCTGCGAGTAGAGGTGAGGTAGTAGCTAGCTAGGTAGTAGGTAGTTAGTAGAAGAGGTAGCTAGTATTTTAAGTAGCTACTATACTTAGGACGCAGGATTGCTCACGCACTAAGGATGTGGTTCCTAGATTTTTTGGGGCACTTATGTTTTTTTCTAGACCGATGCACCAATGCACCAGGAATATAATGCGTACAAAGTACCAACTCATGGTTCTTGACCTTGGCTAAACGTTCCATACACCTTCTTCAGTGCACCGAAGACCGAGTCGTTCGACTGTGCCATGTGGTTGAATTGATCTTGGTTCACCCCAGTCGTCCAAACGTCCAGTCCATCATCGGCTAGACTTGGACGCGCGGACGGGTTCCAAGCAAGCTCGACTCGGACTGTCCAGTCCACGAGTTGAAGGAAGACGACAGGTCCAGAGTGTTTCAGAAGAACTCCGTAAAGTTGGTGTTTGTTATTTTTTTTGGTGGGGGGAGTATCAACACTTGAGCCAGCCCCCCCCCCCAAAGGTAAAATCAAAGTCCTTCCGAAGGGGCAGACAGTTGCAAGAGATGTTGGCAAGTTATATAATTGGTAATCATTGACCTCAGCTGGTTTAACGAAACGACCGGACTGAACAGCGACCGGGTCAGACCTGAACACCGCATGGATGATGATTGGGTTGGGGGATCTGATGACGAACGTACCTCTCGGATACCCACCAACATGACGTACGTGTTCCATAGCACACAGGGAAATGGAAGAAATATGAAGGAAATGGAAGAAATCACACTGAAATCTGTTGAAGCAATTCCAATCTGTAATTTTGTATTTTTGTTGGTTCGTTTCTTCATGGCAATACCAGTAGCATTCAGCACTCGCGATTGTGTCTCCTCAGATTGGAGCCACAAAGTCTTGCTCAAGAGTGTTGCCACCAAGAAAACCTTGCAGGGGGTCTGCAAGTTGTTTGCTTGCTTTTGGATTCGTGGGTTAGGTCTGGGCCGAATCCCCATGGGTCTGATCTTTCTTCGACAGCTCTAGGTGGACTTACACCCTTCCCACTTTTGCCCAAGAAGTTAAAGGCGCATTGCAATAACACCTTTCCGGATGCTTCGTTCATCGCTGCGCTTGATTCGACCCACGCAGCCTGCGGCTTTCGCGCCACCATCCCGGCATCCAAGATGCCGCTGGCCGTGACTATTCGACGCAAGCAGAGACCAAAGTTAAGAGACGTTGGAGCTGATGTGGAGGGAAAAGCGCGATATGGAGGGAGCTTCCAATTGTTTTACTTCAGGCAATTTATTGCGACGTATCATCTTTGGACCAGAGGCTCGGGCAGTGCAGTGAAATCACAGGAATTGCCCCATGGTGTTTTGTGTTTCTTCCCATCGACTCGGACGGTTTGCCCTGCGGGCTTTGTCATCGGAGGGACGCGTCCGTAGATCTCACGTAGATCTCGTAGCTTTCGACGCAGCTCGTAGACCTCTGGAAATTGGATTGGTACTTCTAACCCAGGGCGAAACAGCCCAAGCTATATCATTGGCATGTTGTTGGTACTGGTCCAGTTCCTTTCACAATGCTCTCTTCCCAAAAGCAAGTCCCTGCATAAGAGGGGGGATGTTGTCCCTCCTATCAATCCTTGAGATGAGTGTAATCAATAACTAGAATATATTAGAATAGTTTGCAGGAACTATTTTGCCACCCATTCCGGGACTCCTGACATAAATCCCCCCCAATGCCCCCAGCAAATCTCCTCTTTCGCCACAATCAACCACCAACGACAGACTTCCCGCTCCCGGAGATCACAACTTGAACCCCAGTCGGGCTTCGTCTCTCTTTGTGTTGTGCAGCGTTTTGCTTAGACCTAGACTGTAGGGAGCCTCGAACGGGGCGACGTCTTCCCTCCCAACCGCCCGACGTCATCAAGTGCGTACGGGCTGTGAGGCGGGCGACCCGCCGTGCGACCGTGGGCAACGGGCATCGGTGGTGAGGGTCGCAAGAGTGTGGAGCTGTGGCCGAGATGGTTCATACAGAAGCTACTAGGGGCCCCTGGCCGTACTACTAGGAGCAAGAAGCTACTAGGGGCTCCTGGCATCGCTACTAGGAGCAAGAAGCTACTAGGGGCTCCTGGCCGTACTACTAGGAGCAAGAAGTTACTAGGGGCTCCTGGCATCGCTACTAGGAGCAAGAAGCTACTAGGGGCTCCTGGCCGTACTACTAGGAGCAAGAAGCTACTAGGGGCTCCTGGCCGTACTACTAGGAGCAAGAGGCTACTAGGGGCCCCTGGCTACTAGGAACAATAAGCTCTCCCAGCACACATCATTGGAAGTTTTGCGGGTGTGTTAGTAGCTTCTTATATTGTAAGTATGGTGCTTGATGGATAGAATAAACAATAGAGTTTCAAACAAAGGCATTGACATGAGCAGGTCACAAATGAAGGATTGTCAGTTATCATTTTTCCCCAAACAGTTTACTGTTGGGGTTCTCTCTTTATTACTTTGGACTGTTGTCCTCCTTTTGTCCTCCTTCTGTCCACTGGCCCCGCTTGCGAACGTTGTGCCTTCCTCTTGTCCTCTTGGTATCCTCCTGATGTTCTCCAAACAGTTTAAGAAGTTGAAGAATATGGCTGGCCATGATAACTGGGGCCGCGCCGTGGGCTTCCTGGTCCAACTCATGTCCTGGTCTCTTTGCCCTGCTTGTCCAAGGTTCTGATTGATGGATTGTTCATGAGTGTTCAATACCATGTCTTTCGAACTACCTCCCATGCCCAGATCATTCCCTGAGCTGCCAGATTTGCAGAAGATCCACAATCGACTCGTGTGATTGACCTCGATAGCAGAATCAGAAGGAAGGCCGTCCTTTATATATAATTACTAGAAAACCGCGTCAAAACCGCCCATGTAGATCTATTCCTGGACTGCCTGACCCATCCCCTCAGGACTAACTTGGTAGATTGGACCCGCTGGATACCCTTGGCCATTTGCAGCGCATGCCTGGCAGGTGAGGTTTCACCAGCCTCGCACTGCATGAAGACCATGCAGGCCCTGGCACTGGTCGTCCCGGTGATGTTGGGTCACTTAATTGACTAGTATAAGAAACAGGTGCAAAATGGTGCAAACCTCACACTGGTTCCCTTATGTTCCCTTTTTCTTCTATGGATTCCTGCTTGCAAAAACGGGGCAGCAACAACACGTCAGCTTGAACGGGCAATTGGTGTGTGTGACCTTTTGACCGGCCATCCTTTCTCTTCCAAAAAAAGGGGGTTTTCGATGATCGGCTACAAAGACAGCTGTTCTCGTGTTTCTCTTCACACCCGTTCACTTTCACTTTCAGCAGCTCATTTGGATTTGGATAAGCGGTCGTTGTGACCAGGTCCGGGCTTCCCAGCATTTAGACATATAGAGGAGACGGGTCCGGGCTTTTGTTGGCGGGTCACTCGCAACACACACCCAGACCTGTTTGAACACTTACTGCATTATCATATTATAACTGCATGTTGTATCATATTGTAAACTCTGGAAACAGTTGTAAACAATTGTAAACATGGGTGTGTTTTTGCTGTCTCTGATTCCCAGATCATACATCCTACCGAATCCTACGCCGAAGTCTTCCGACCCGGCTGGGGCAGCGACCGTGGTCGAAGTGTCAGCTCGACCGACCATGTCGGGGTGAAAACGAAAAGCTGAGGACTAAATAGAACCCCCATTTGGAACTCCTGGTATATTCTTCTTTGTTGACTGCAGAAATTCATCTTAAACCACTCTTTCCTTTACTTGCTTGTTTTTGCTGTTGAACGTCGTCTTAGCTGCTTAGCTGAACCGCCAACTGACTTGTGGGTCGATGGCGTCGGCCCAGTGAGGCGTGGACCGTCGCGTCCGTCGCTTTGGCTTGGACCGTCGCTGCAGCCGCCGCCTGGATGGACGGTGGATGCGTGGGAGCAGTTTTGGAGGGCAAAGTCTGGCTCGAAGTCCGAGGCCATCGCTCTTAGGTTGGAGGCCATCGCTCTTAGCTTGGAGGCCATCACTATGTGATTGTTCTTTTCTTCTGTTTTTCTTACTGACTCGAAGTGCGGACCAACTGAGGGTCATTTGTAGCTGTGAGGCTGTGTGGTGGCATGGCAGTTGATCTTGATGTTTCGTTGGTCGAAGTCCATTAGGTAAGGATAGTATAGACTCTACCAACCTAGCAGTGCATGTCAAGCATGCCAAGTACTGTACATCAAACTACTAAACCACCATACTAGGCCCTGGTTATGTATTTACTGTAAATGCGGGCCAGCAGATCTGATCCGCATGTTCTTTAACGCAAGCTTCTTCCACAGATCTGGAACGCACCCAAATCGAACTGATCATCAAGGTAATGGGGATTGTTGGCACGAAAAGAATAGAGTTGGTCTATGACTCGTAGACTCAGTTGCATTGTGTGTCAACTCCATCCTGACATTGGGCAAGAACCTGTAATGCTTGGCGATGATCCACTTTGTGGGCTCCTTTGTGGTTCACCTTAGAGGAGGGCTGGGGCTTCACCAACTCACGCAACCACAGCAAAGGTCGTATGGCAAAGGCGGGATCCAGGCTTGGAGATGCGCTCTAGCTGCAGGATCCTAGTCTAGTCCTAGTCTAGTCCTGAGTCCTGACGTATTTTTCAAGTATTTGCAAGTGATCCAACAAGCACACCCTTGTTCGTTTCGTTTCTTTTCCATGTAACGATCTCCTGATGTTTGCCTCGCCATCTGCACGTTGCTAGGAGGATCTCTTTGTATCTCAGGAGTGACTTGGAGCCCTAGAACCCAAAGGTTTCCGGCCAGATACCTTTTGAATGATTTCCTATTTCCCAGTGATTTTCCCTATCTCTTTGTAGGTTTCCCTCGCGGAATGTGATAGGCCTCAAGATTACCTTTTGATCGATCGCCCAGGTGAATCTGGAGTGCACCTTCGCCAACTCCAACATCAACATGACCAACATGAGCGGTGCCGGCGCGTTCCCGTAAGCTTGTCAAAGTGGTCGCAAGTCCAGCATGCAGGGAGTGTTTGAAGACTAATTACTGGATATATGGAACTGCAGTGCCAAATTCGAGGTCCCCACTTCCACTCTTTTAAAGAAGGCTGATCAATGAAGGTTAAAGAAGGCTGATCCTTGAAAGGCCGGCATTGAAAGGGCCCCTTGAAAGGCTGCCGGTGAGAGACCGGTTTCAGACCGGTGAGAAACCGGTGAGCTGACCGAACTGGAAAGGACCATCCAACAGATTCACCGCCGTTCTCCGACAATCCCCCTGTGCAGCCTGTGTGTCCCGAGCCTCGCGTTCTCCAACCATCGCCAGGTCACATGATGCAAGGCATCAAAGCCATCAAGTCGGGAAGACACAGGGGCGGGACGAGGTCCTGGGGTCATCACATTGGAACAAGAAGAACGCGGCTGTGGCCCTTGTTTGGCCCCAGAATCGGGATCACTACTATATATACCTAGAACCCATTCGACCTTTGTTTTGATAGGAAAAGACAATGTTTTGGATCCAAAACAGAGGTCAATCAGGTTCTAGGTTATACATATATATATATATACACAGTAATTTTATACGATTATGTTCTACACAATCCAAAAGCTCCTGACTGTTGGTGAGCTGGGTGACTGGAGAGTTGTGGGATGTTGGCAGCCAGTGTTTCAAGTGTTCCCCCCCCACTTGGATAAAAGGCATTCCTTTTCCAGCGCTCAGTACTTCTCAAGCTTCATCGACCGTCTGACCATCGTTACCTCAACGGACATTCAGCATAATCAACAAACCACAGTGTTTGTTGCAGGAGGCCGTGGATTGGCAAGTACGCTTCGAATACGGTAGGCCCCAAATCATTTGTTCCCCAACCACCAAGAGGTTTGGAAGGCTCGGAGACTGCAGACTTTGGACTAGCGGATTCCGAATGGATTCCCGAGATTTCAGGTGGATTTTCCCTGAAGTCATCCAGTTGCTTCAGCAGAGCTTCTTCCATCCGCTCGTCTCGCCGAGTGACGAGCTCCGAGCCTCCCAGGTACTCTCCTCACATGATGGGCGCCACCTTCAACGACAAGTACAACTCGCCACTTGTCCTTGTTGCTCATCCTAGTCTCCTAGTCTATCTAGGGAGTGGATATGATATGATATGGCATTAAATTCCTTTTCTTATGCCATCTTGCGGCCACTTGTTGATGTGTAGGTCGTACGTAGTGTACCAATCGGTTTGTTCTTCAGTCTATTGTTTCGATGGCGTCGGTCGTGAGTGCTCAGCGTCCAATTGGCTGTACAGCGACAACATCAGCAACAGTGGGATTGGAGTTCTCAGTGCATATTATACAGTATATAGATACTTCCTTCACGTGGTACTTGTAGAGGATGTGTTCATCTCCCGTCCCCACGAAACTTCCGCAAGTGGGATGGGTATTGTGTCCAAAGTCTTTTGACAACAGCGATTTCGATCTGGTCAAATGCACGAGAAAGAAAGACTCAGATAGGCCCCTCAAAGCCAAGGAACTGTGATCGACCAGCTGCAGCAGATGTAGCAAGAGAAGCTCTGAAATCAGGAATTTCTAGATAGTGCATAGTACATAGGGCAAGCCACGTGTGAGTGGAGTTTGTCTTCCAACTGCGCGAAACAGCACGGAGCCTTTTTGTAGATGCTGAACACAAAGAGCCTTGAGTACTTCTACACCATGTTGGTAGCATTCAACAGTCAATCAATTCCCAAGCCCATTGACAACAGGACAAACAAATTCTGCCAGGTCCAACGTGCCCAGAACCAACACAAAGCCTGTGGAACCAAAGAAAAGTGAGTCAACCAGGACAGCCGGACAGCTGAGGTTCTTATTATTATAGAGGTGGTTATAAGAACCTATAGCCTGTTTCATAGATTTCAACTTCTGAGACTTCTGAGGTTCCTATCGAGCTTATACCGCCGGACAGCCCAGAGGGTTCAAGTCGGAAATTGATGGGCATGGGGCTTGGACCTCCGGGACATTGGGGCTTGATGAGGTTTCGGGGTCCACATGCAGGTGGAATATCCAGGCTTCAATAGGTTTGGATTGGCCAACCTTGAAAAGCAGGGAAGATGATCAGCAAGAATCCTTGTGGAAAGAAGCTGAATGTAGACGTGTTGCGACCCATCCCTTTGTTTCTCATACAGATCCCTAGATGTAGTGTATGTGATGTGTATGTGGTTGTGTGTCCAAATAGCAGCTTAACCTTCCGCGCACCTTTTCGCACCCCCCAGACAGGCAGTGTTTCGCGGTTCGCACCGTGAAACGATGTCGATCGGGATGTGTGTTGACTAGGCCGCGATTTGGAGCTCATTGCTGGGGGCCCAGTCATGTCGAAGCGGATGGATGGACGGTTCATGGAGACGCTTGACGGTCCACTCCGGACCGCACTGTTCGAGCAGGTTGTTTGGCGCAGAAGAATTTGGGCACCTGTGGATTTGAGTGGAGGATGAAGGAAGTGTGAAAGGCTTGTGGGTTAGGGAGTTCAGGTCATGTGTTGAAGATGTTCCTTTCACAGACTTCTCTTCCAAGCCCTTGCACTTGCAAGGCCTAGAGTTGCCGTAGGTCATGGTGGCCAGAACTGTGGCTACTGGTTGCGTGGCACTCCTCTCCTGTTAAACTTACTGTGCGTGTGGGGTACAATTGGAGCCTCCACCAATCATTAGCTCAAGTTCCCAACCGATCTTCTCCCTTTCTTTTGGCCCCCGCTCAGGCAACGCAGCTGGGCGCGAACACCATCCGAATGTCCCCTCCGGACCGGTGCAAGCGCCACAATGCAACGGCATCCGCGCGGCCCAAGTCGAAGGGTCCGGGCCAATCGTTCGACTTTGGGACGATGAACGGACGAAGACTCCGACCATCTCCGACCTGTTTTGGCCTGTCTCAGGGAGACCGAATCGGCCGTACCGTGTGGTGTTGGGCTGCTGGGACGTGTGCTGTGCACGCTCCAAGAAGCGCCTTATTTAGTGCGATGCAGGGCTATGCTACAGCTGCTACAGTTAAGATATGTCAAACCCTTTGCTACATTCAAGGATTTTCGAGGTAAACCCTTTGGTCATTGCTTGAAACGTGCGTGAGCCCAGCTGGAAACGAAACGAACCCGAGTCCAATGACCCATGTCAGGCTCATGCAGCCCATCAAAAAGAGCCCCTGCTGATGGCCTTGCTGAGGTACCGACTCTCTTGAAAAGTTCTGAAGAGTTACCAAGACCAAGCACTTCCAAACGGGCATCACTTTGTCAGTGACGATATGATGGGATATGGGTCAACCGGCCGACTCAACTTGCTCCATTTCTGCGGTTTCCGAAGCCAAGCTATATTTGTAGGTTTCTGTTTCACCGAGGGTACCACGAGGGTAATCACCCACAATATCCCACCATCCTGAACCGCGTGCCTCGTGCAGGACTTTTTTCTGCCTGACACGGGCACATGGAAGCCTTTCCTGGATGAGTGCACCAACAAAAACCTCTCAGTGATCCCCACGCCGGGAGCGCCAAGAACTTGGGAGTTCTCGGGCGGTGAGGTCGGTGAGCCGGTTCTGCGTTCATATCTCTTGCACCATTCGGCAGAGATATGCAGAGATAGACAAGACACGACATTCGACAAGACATGCCATGTTCCTGCGTAAAATTGAATAAGACCCCCAAGCCTCTTGGCACAATAAGAACCACAAACAGACAGAGATTGAATAGTTATATAGTTTGTACTGTTGGACAAAGACAGACCTTTCCGGGCTCGGTCACTCGGTCCCACGTTGTGGCTTGGTCGAAGGGGCCTTCACTTGGTGCTTATAGGTACGTAGGGACACTGGGGGGGAAACAATCCATACAGGGCCACCACCAAAGCCTGGTGTTAAACTAATCACATCAAAAGTCCATGTGTAGCCACTCCTGCGAGCCCTCAAATTTGTTGAAATGGTTTTAGCAGATCCTACAGAACTCTTCGTCCTATAGACCTGCACATTGTGCTGTGCAAAATTTGGTTCCATACACATGAAATAGTATTGGCTAGCAATGGCCAGTCATTCTACGGCCTTGCAGGATTTGCTCGTGTCGCCCTCAACCAGCATGAATCGTTTTGGCGGTGAGAGTCTCCGCACAATTCTTGGACTCTTTCTGAAGGCTATTGACACGCAGAAGAGTTTCATCACTCCATTTTGAGACAAGCCTCGCAAAGACCTACTTACAAAGACCTACTTAAAGAACCCATAGCTAGTTGAGGACCTTCAGCTTGGGAGCTTGTTCAGAGCGCATTTCACATCCCAACATGTCGCAACCTCATTTTACTTACTTTGGCATGTCCTCAGCAGAGACATACCGAACTTTGTTCTGTGCCCAACCACCCCTTTGGAGTCGTTTTTCCCAGTCCCCTTGAGTCCGCTTCAAGGTTCTCCGTTTATCACTACCTAGCAGAAGGCCTCGCCCGGGCACCCAGTGGTTGGAGACAAACCGTGGGAGGACGGAGAGGCGCAGAGTCTGGTGAAATGGGTGACGCAACCTGATTCGTCTCTGGGCTCACTGCGGTCTCCCTTTTTGGGAGGCTGTTCATGTGCAAAGGACAGATAAGACATGATAAGACTGTTGATTTAGACCAGCAAAGATGCAGTTTCATGGGTATTTTGTTCAAAGCCGGGCATCTTACACTAAATGCTTCTATGGAGATGGTGTTTTCGCACCAACCATAGGGTCATTTTTGATTTTTGGATGTTTGCCCTTGTTTGTGCGATGGCATGGGAATTGATCCAAAGCTAAAGATCCGCATTGTTTCGTGAACCTCTATTGGCCAGCGCGGTTCATGCATGGTTTGGGAGGTTCATGGCCATGCTATGCCATGCTGATGCTGACACTGCAAGTGAAAGAGAGCACGGCACAGCGTAGATTTGAGATAGGGTTAGATCAAATCAAGCTGTTGCAGTGGGGCCCGATGGGGGCCAAAATCCATACCTGGCTATAGATACATGTTTTGGCCGCTACTCATGTGCAGCTCCGAGTCGATTTGTGGTGATTGGTACTTGGCGTAGTTTGGGTAACGGTTTGTCCTATTACCTGTAGAGCCAGCAGTCAACAAGAACTTCACTATTTGAGAGATGTCGGCCTTTAACCATCATCATCCACTGAGCCCTGTGGGATATCGTATATACATCCACTGGGCCCTGTTCCTCCCTCCTTGGATGGAATCTTTGCCCGGTGGATGCCAGTAAGATCACCTGCTCGAATCGAGAAAGAGGAAGGTGATGTTGCTGTTCTTCTCGGCACCCCGTCATAGATGCATGGCAGTTGCTGTATACTGTAATACTTTAAAACCCCACTAGCCCTATATCTCTACCCTAGAAGTCCAAAGACTAGCTTTTGACCAACCGAAGAAATGGAAGTTCCCTGAAACTGGTCCCCTGAAGGCAACTCTTGTTTTTTTTACTGTAACAGTCTTTGACTCCCAAGCTCTATATCCCCAAACCCCGGGTAGGTTGACCTCCCTTGAAGCCTATTCTCTGCAATTTTTGTTGGAAAAAGCCCACATTATTTTGGGTCATACCCCACAGTCTATAGACAAGTTCCTGTCCATGTTGGAGGAATTTCTCGGCCGAGGCGGCCAGCGAGATGGAAGCATTAATCCAAGAGATGCTTTGCGTCAGTTGGTCGGCGGGAGCTCGGGAGGGCGGCCTTAAGTGGCATGCCGGGGGACCACCGGTGGTCCCGTCCGCTTTCAACCAGGGTTTCTACATGTTTTAGCTTGTTGAGCCATGTGATTCAGGGCTAAAGGGCTAAATGTTTGGGGGAAACAGAGATTGGACAATAAAGCATAATGAAACGAGATTGATCATGGGAACGTGAAATCACGTGAACGTGAACACACAAAAGTACTCTTGAGTTACGGAGTTTTTGCAAGATTTGGAGCGGAGTGGGAAGGCAACGGACTAGAGAAATGTTGGGATGTTTTGTTTCTGTATAGTCAAAGGCGGTTGGTAGACATTCAGGTGCAGATACATTCAGGGACAGTTTGAGGACAGGCACAGGCATTGAGATGGATGTTGTTGAAGTAGTTTGCGGGGCACTTGGTATTGGTAAAAGCGAGCTTAAGTATCCATGTTTGTTTCCCACGCATTATGGGCCTTATTGGAAATAAGGATGACAGTGTTCACCTACATTCATCCCAGCAGGTGTGCAGAGTTTTCAAGGCCTTTGCGCTGTACATTTCGTTATAAATCTTAGGAATATGAACAAGAAACGGATCTAATTATAGTTAAATATGGTTAGCAGCGCACATAGTAGGGGGTCTGGTTGTGGCAACTTCATGTGTCGGGCAAGCGTCGCGGGCGCCCCGAGGAAGTTCGGCAACTTCATGCGGTGCGCCGGGGAAACGCGTGGCGCGGGTCCGTTTGCGGCAACGACCAGAGGGGACCCCCTCTGGGGGCTGCAGGGTGTGATGGTTCGAGTCTGGCTGCAAGCATTGTCCCTGGATGTCATTAGATCATGTCACATACCACTTGTCTAGGTGGGAGGGAATATCAGAGTAGATTCTGTGTAGATGTCACTATAGCTTCGATTTAACTATAGTTTGGAACAGGTGGCCTTAAATTCAGAAACATTTGGAAACAACAAACACACACACACACTTGGGATAATTGTGTCTTTTGCCGTGCCGTCCATTTGCACTGAAAGCTAATACGTTTTGTTTTATTCATCGTTCAGCCATTCAGCGCAGTGTCAATTGTTTCCTCGGAATTGCGCGAGATGGTACGAGCCTTGTTGGACGGTGGTTGCACTTAGCTGGCATCCGGAAAGTCCTTACGGCAGAAGAACTGGACCTCTCCTGGACCCTGGAGCGAGCGAACTCAAATCGAGTCTGTTTGTGGGATCTCCCAGCTCCACCTGAGCGACGCCCATTCGAGCTCCACCTTCTCCGAGCTCCACCAGCTCCGACCGGAACCGCCCGGGGTCGGAACCCAGCGTCGCCGAGGTACTTCATCTCCGGGGGTGGTGCGGTGCCCTTTGGGTCCCACCCATGCCTGGCCACTGGAGGGAAGCTCCACGAGAGTGCCCGAGGGCCTGGGGAAGAGAAGGGCCGCCCTTTTGGGAAGAGAATGGCCAGAGGTGATCAGACGGGGTTTGAGATGGCCGAAAGGCTGAGATTGGATGCGGATTTGTAACCTGTTCCATTCAGGTATTGGGGCGTGTTTCATGCTCGAGTTCTAATTGTTCGGCGTCCAAGAGTTGGTATATAATTGCCATAATATGCTATTTTTAGTACAGACATGGTCGTCATACGTTTGGGGATTAATGTCGTTCCGCAGGTCTTCTCACCGCAGAGCCGCGGAGCTCACCCTGTGTCGTTCCGGAGAGCTCATCCTGTTCCTGCGAAGAAGGGGATTGACCCCGATACCGGCGGGGCTATCATCTCACTGATGATTCAGGAAGAAAAGACCATCACCAATCACGAAAGGTAGCTTGAGCTACCTGAGTTCTCCTTGCTTTAGCAAAAATGTATTACAATCAGGAGTTGGGATTGTGCATTGAATTTGGTCCTGTAAGAGTTGATTCTGTTCGTCGGGGGGGGGGATCAAATCCACCCTGCGCGGTTCACGCCGTCGTGGACTTCTACCAGGGTTACTTGTGATTGCCTGCTACCTTTCGTTCACCCCCTCCTCTCTCAAGTTTAGTATACCATTTTGTGCGGGTTTCATCGTGCAAACCAACGAGAATTCATGTGTGAATCCGGCTTGGGGAAAGAGTCCAAGCGTTATATTGGCCATATATATATATATATGCCTTTAAGACGATATGTGTTTTAAGGTGTTTCGGTGTTTGCTTTTAATCGACCCTGGTCAAATACCAACTCAGCGCAAATAGCTGCCCATAGCTGTGTCTTAAAGTACTTTAAAGCATGATGTGAGCAACCTTTAAAGCATTGTAAGAATGCAGAAGGATGTCATGTGTTGCATAAATTGGAACTATCCATTTTGCTGCATAGCTAAAAAATAGCCAACCCTACCACCGAGAGTCTTTTAATCATGGTAGGGTACCGAAGATACAACACACGCAGAAACCTGATCGGGATTGATAGGCAGGGGCCGACCCCATACAATACTTCAGACACTCATTTGTCGGCAACCAGCTTTTGATCCCCATCCATTTATGATGATGACTTCCAACAAGGCCTTCATCAAATTAATTGTCAGGCGCCCTGTTCCAATGAAGCACAACGGTATTGCATGCACATCGATCACATCACTATGGACAAAGTCTGACAAAGCCCTGTGCCTGATGTCCTTTTTTGGATTTCTGCAGTATCAATCAATCTCTGATTTTCCCAGGTCAACCCTTTCTTTCACACAGGCCCCACACTCAAACATCTCAAACACCGGTCGTTCTCTTTCTCCGACGTCTGACTGGGCGCTCCGAGCCAGGTGAAGTTTTGGAGCGTCCCTCGGCCCCAAAACGCGCGCTTGAGCGGCGAGCGGGACTTCTCGTGAGATTCTGCTCGTCGGCAGAAACGGTGCTCCCATCATGCTGACCTGTGACATCATGACCTGTGAAAGGGTACACGGTGCTCGTATACAACCTGAACGACCTATAGGCCATCCTGAGCCAACGACCGAGTTCGGCTGTGTCCCCAAAGCAGCATGGCCATCGGATGCCATCACTCTTGTTGAGATGGAAAGGCCTGCAACCTAAGGGCCCATCATCCATTTAGGAGAACATCAGCATTCACTGTGCCGATGGTCCTGCGGATCACCAAGGACTTGATCGTTTTGGAATCCATGGGAAACGATGAAAGCTGCTTCGGATAGAGAAATCTGACGATCAACGATTGTCAACGGGAGTCCGCTGCAGTGGGATTCTCCACCTTTTTGAAGAAACACCATATAACATCTTAGCCTTAGGTAAAGAGTGTGATGGGATGTGATGGGGAAACACACACACATATATATATATATGCCCATATATATAATAACTATTGGAAGTGACACATATATATGTAAACATATATGTATAAGATGTATAATATAGATATATACTATAATCATATATAAATATTACATTACTATTGCACATGATATGTAACATGTATCCAATCTCATTTCGACACGACCCCCCATCCTTGGCCGGAGTCACGCCCCAGATTAGCGGCTTGCCAACAGTGGAGAGTTTGGTTGGCAGCTCTCGCCTCATCGACCAGGGGTGACCCGCGATGAAAACGGGGTGCATGGTTGGTGTTCGTTTGGTGCGGATGGGATGATCCAAAGAGATCATGTAAACTCCCTATATGAAGTACGAAGAGTAGAGGGTAGATGTTCAATCCAAATAGTTGGGAATTACAGGGGATTATGAATCGACTCAGACTCAAGAACAAAAACAACAAAACAACCCATCGGCCATGCCGAATCCTGCAAAGACGGATCAACCAAGAAGACCAAAGAGGATCAGACAGAGAGGTGATTTTTCCTTTGCACAATATGGATTCCTTTTGTGGTGGCTCATCCCCACCCGGCTACTGTAGCTGAACATGAATAGAAGGAGGCCCCACCATATTACCATTGGTACTCACCAGTCATGGCATACATCTATTTCGTAGACCGTTGCGTCTTGGGGGAGTTCAGCAGGGGTTGCTACCAAACAAGTATCGTCATCCACTTATACTATAGCTATCTATAGCTTGTATACTATATAAACTATATAATATATATTATATATAGTTCATGTCCGCTGAACCCTTGGGGTGAGGCAGAATGGCGATATTCTTTCATCCTTGCTCTTTCTCAATTTGGATCCAATCCACTCGTCACTCCTACTTGGATCATACCCAATTGTGCGAGAACCAGCAATTTTCACTGGTGGAATTTGGAGTCACCTCCCGCGTTTGGACGATGAAGCTGCGCGAACTCCCCCAGATTGTTTTGAAACTGGGTAATTCTGTCGATTGCTGTGGGTGGTTTGATTCTGCCCTAAACCACTCAAAAGCCACCTATATGTGTTTCTATATAAGGTGGGAATCCACATACTTTTCAATGGTAGTATCCCATTGGTGGCATCACTGCCATCTTAGACATTGAAACCAACGCGTCTCCGAGCTGCGACAGGTACAGCGCAGCAGACGACAGTTCCCTCATCGAGCGGCGCTTCACCAGGCAGCTCGAGGGCTCCATGGAAGACATGGGGATGGGTCAAAACCTGGAGCCCCAAAACCATGTAGCTTGACCTTCCAGGTAGGTCAAGCAAGATATCCTGGTGCCATGACCCATGGCGCCACATGTGGGTGTGGATTGACACAGGGACACCCACGGAGACCTCGCGGGCAACGACTCCTTTGGGTTCGGTGTGGGAAATAGACCAGTGTACCCGGCCAGGGGCTCTCCTTATAAAACTGCACACTCATGTCATGTTGAGGATATATGCTGGATGCCTCGATGCCTCGGCCGGTGTCCGGAGACTGGACGACGAGAAGAGATCTAGGTCACCTTGGTGTGAGGATTTTGGAGCCCAAAGAAGGCTCACCCAATCTCCTTTGAGGTACAAGAATGACAAGAAGCAATGCTTTTGTCTATATAATTCCGGCATGAGCGACTGGAGCCACGGTCCTGCTTCCCTCATTTCTCCGTGCCCGGCTGACGTTTCTGTCTGGCGATCAGTGCAATTTCTTGGAACTGCCACCGGGCCATCCTGGAGTGGCTCAAGACTCGATCAGCCCTCCGAGCGTCCGTCCATTGGAAGAGAAGTAGAGAAGTTGACTTCGTGTGGGCTGAGAGCAGTTCTGCGGAAGATCCAGCTCCTGCCTTTGGCGCAGGTGAAGCAACATGTTCTGGCTTTATTATTGCCATGCGTGCTGGGTGGCCAGCCTGGTATTGTGAACCTCACTGTGGTTGAGGAGGTCATCCCTCATCTCCATTGGGTTGCTGAAACTTGGCAAGGCGATGATTGACACTGAGTCTAATAAAGTTTTGCTCAAAGAGTTTGACAGTAGCAAGGACGCTACTAGGGGCTCCTGGCATCGTTACTAGGAGCAAGGACGCTGCTAGGGCTAGGGGCTCCTGGCCGTACTAGCAGGAACAATAAGCTACTAGGAACAGAGCTCACTTTCTTCGGCTTCCTACATTTTTGTTTGTGTCCAAACAAGCAGGGAGACCGACAATAAACGCTTGCCAGGGGCGTTAGAAAGATTCAATAAGCCACACTAACGCCTGAATTTGACAATACCAACTGGATGACCCAGTTGGTTCAGACAGCGTCCACTACTCAAAAGGATCACTGAGATGGAGATTTGAAGCCTGTATATATATATAGATATGGCATGATATGGCTATAATTAATCATATAAAAAATATGTGACTTCTAACTAGTAACTAGTACTTACTAACTAGATAAATATACATGTTCGTATATATATATATATATTGTGCGGAGTATTATGCGGCTATATTATATTTAAATAACAACAATATTATGATGACATGTATATATATATAACTATATGTATATACAACTATGTGGCTATCCGTGTACTAAGGTTCAAACACTTTGTTACATCAAAAACACAGGCCATCAGTGCAGGGATGGTCATCCACTTGCAACCCATGGCCAAACTGCTTGCGACCTCCGCAGTAACCAGGGAGGGAAGTTGGAACTGTGAGGAAGCAGTAACCATCCTCATGACCGGAAGCACCTTCTTGGAAGGGTCCTTCTCCATGCGTCATGTGATTCTTGAGTAAATAGAGAGCCAACAGATCTGGGAGGCATTCAGATGTGTTTGGTATCCCTTGGAATGTCAGCATTCACATACCAAGAGTCTTCATATGTTGTCATCCGTCTCAAAAGGTTTTCTTAAGTTGCATCTAAGTTGGAGTGCAGAGCAGGTAACAGACCGTTCTTTCCAGCGGTTGACGAGGTGGGTATCAAGGTTTTGGATCGAAATGGCTGTTTTAAGATGATTTGAGTCTATAAACATTATACAGATACTAGTGTATAACAGAAACCAGCGCTGTGAGCGTGTGTATTTTTCATTGTTACTTATGCAGAGGAAAATCTAAACATTTTAAGTATTTCCTATACACGTGATAATATGTGAATACCAAAGACCTAGAGGAAATACCACAAATATCAAAAATACAACAAATACCAAAAATACCAAAAATGCAAAAGACCTAGAAAACATACCAAAAATACCAAAAATATCAAACATACAAAAAATTACCAAAGAAATACCAAACATACCAAAAATATCAAAGATACAAAAACAATACGCCATAAATACCAAAAATACCAAAGAAATACCAAAAATACCAAAGAAATACCAACAATACCAATCCTCTGGAGACATATAGGCCACCTGACTAGTATTTCCTCTAGGTCTTTGGTATTTTTGGTATTTCTTTGGTATGTTTGATACGTTTGGTATTTTTGGTATTTGGAGGGAGGGCCAACTATTCCTCTACATGATTTGTATGTTTTGTATGTTTTATATTTTTGGTATGTTTTTGTATTTGGAGGGAGGGCCAACTATTCCTCTACATTTTTTTTTTTGTATTTGAGGGGGGGGTACTGTTCTTCTTGTTTCTCTTTTGGAGTTGCTCTCCTGGAGCAATTTTTTGAGGTAGCGAGCCCCCAAAATCCTCTCTAACCAGCACAAGCACATATATACAAGCACATGGTTTTCAGTCTTTGCGTGACCATCTTTGTGTTTTGAACCCAAACAAAGGCCGAAGACCAATCCAGAAAAATTCGCTGCGCTCGACCACGCGGTTACCAACGCCTTTGCGGCTCCAGGATTGCCATCCGGGCGATGTACAGCTGCATGAAACAACTCCTCTTGGGAAGTGATGCGCAGGCGCGTGAGTCCAACCCCGGACCGTCCGACTCACGGCGGAGTTGATGACGGACTTGTCGGCAACGTTGGTATATTTTTTTTGGGGGGCCTTTGGACGACCGGGCTTGGCAGGAGGTTGCGGATGGATTAAGTTTAAATTAAAACAAGTTTGATGGCATGTTTCAATCCCTACAGATAACACTCCGGACTTGGTACGATTTACGGGTTGCAGATTCCATTATTATTCCATAGATGGAGTGTCTGGGATATCATCCTGAGATTCCCATCCATGACACCTGAGACGAGTTTCCAGTCCATCAAGCTTGGCCACTCGGCGCTCCGGTGGCCACTCGTCCATGTCGTTTCATTGCTGTCGATCTTTGTTCCGAAAGAGCTGGAGTCTCATTGTCATTCACTATCCGAAATTGTGTCATATGGGTGTCATATTGAGATGACAATTGTGTCATATCCGATGTTGGTTTCTTATTCGACCAACTCAACATCTCTCCCGTCTCTTCGAGCTCCGAGCTGCGAATCGATCCTGGGCCGGGCAGGAACGGGGCGCGGACAAGATCGCGCTGGCCGTCGATTTGAGCTTTCCAGCTGCCACGGTGGGAGACCACGGTGCGTTTGGGGTGAGTTGGACTGAGACCATGGTGGCTCGGTAGGGTTTCAAACTGGATCAACTTAGGACAAAGCTAGGTTGTTGAGCTGATCAATGATCAGCATAGTAGGTATTTGATGGTATTTGATCCATGTGGATCCATGTGGTGAGTTGAGATGAAGGAGAGGATTCCCTCAACGATGAACCTTCTTTGGAGACTAAGGATGGACATTCTTTCCCAGTGAATTCGTCGGTGCACCGATCAGTTGATCCTCACTTGCCCAAAGCAGACTACCCAAGATATCAACACTCATCAACACACCTCAGAAGTAGCAAGGGCATCGCTACGTTCGGGGCTCCTGGCATCGCTACCGAACGGAGCACTTCGGCGTTCCCGACACATGTTTGGACATGCCTGGACCGAAGGTCGCTTCAGTCCGAAAGCGGCAAGGATCGAACGGGCCGGTGTCGTCTATTTGGCAACTTCCGGGTTGTCTATCTATCTATTTATACTATATATATATATGATAGAGGGTCCTTTAGGTATTATTTCGTTACTGTGTCAGCAGGATCACTATTTAAAAAGCAATTGTATTCCAATTCTATTCATTTAATTAATTAATTAGAAAAGAAAAGAAAGTCCAATTAAATATTTTATTAGTTAATTAGAAAAGAAAAGGAAATCCAATTAAACAATTAAATATTGATTTATTTAGTTATTTAATTGTTTTAATAGTCTTCTATTCCCTTTCTTTTTGTTTTCCTTGCTATTTAATTGCTTAATTCTTTTAAATCCAATTAAATAATTAAATAGTTATTTATTTAATTATTTAATTGGAAAAGAAAAGGAAATCCAATTAAACAATTAAATAGTTAAATAAATCAATATTTAGTTATTTAATTGAAAAAGAAAAGGAAATCCAACTAAATAACTAAATAACTAAATATGTGTTTATTTAATTACTTAATTGAAAAAGAAAAGGATATCCAATTAAATAGTTACTTAAAGGTTCAAGGCGTTTAGTATTTGGATGTGCTGCTTAGTGCTACTTAGGAAGTAGCCTATCTTGAGATATAACTTCTGTAAGTAAAGATATAATTGACTTTTCTATGACAACTACTTATCATCACTTACTAACTACAACGCATCAGTTACTTTGTGTTGTAACTATATAAGCTACTTACTATCTAATATGTAACTACTTACGCTAAGTGAGCTAAGTACTTATCACACATACAAGCCCGCCCGCCAAGTCAAGGACAAGGTCAGGAACACAGATGTGGCGTGCAGCTGCTGGCGTCGCCCTACTTCAGGGTACGCCTCCCCCGTCGAGAGCCGTCGAGAGGTTGTGGTTGAACAGGACAACTCATGCAAACACGTCATGTGGAGTTTCACTCGCTTGCAGTTGCTTTTATAGGTGAAGTCGGCGGTGCTTTTCGAATGGTCAATTCAGAATGTTTCTTGCTTTGACATGGCTTTCATGAGGTTTCCTGCATGTTGTCATGTGACATGAGATGGCCAGACGTGACATGCTTCCTTGTTTTCATGTGGCATGGCATGACATGACGTGGCACGACATGACATGATTTCCTGCTTTCATGTGACATGACATGGCATGACATGGTTTTGTTTTTTCATGTGACATGACATGGCATGACATGGTTTCCTGCTTTCATGGGACATGACATGGCATGACATGGTTTCCTGTTTTCATGTGACATGACATGGCATGACATGGTTTTCTGTTTCCATGTGACATGGCATGACATGACATGACACGGCCATGACATGACACGGCGTGACATGACATGTCATGTAGAGGACTCCGACATGTCCATGATGGAAAAGCACAAACACTTCTACCGTCAAATGGGTGTTCAAGATTTTTACCGAGGACCCATGAAGGTGACATGACAAACATGTTCACATGAAGGTGACAATCTCAGAACATGAGTTTCATGCGACAAACACTCTGACTTTACACACGCATGAGTCTCACAACAAACATGTTCACACACTTGACCAGCCAGTGGCAATCTCATATAGGCTTTGCACACACACTTCACAAACTTAATCACACTTGACCACTCCTCTCACACATGTTCACGAATCTCACAAACATGTTCACATCTGACAACTCCTTCACTGCGCCGGGCATCATGGCACTTCCTCGTCGCGTGCTGGATGGAATGCAAGAGCTCCTGCACAAGGAGCCTGAGAAGTTGGTGAAGACCGTGCAATCCTGCCTGGACTTTTTGACGGAGCACGGCATGGTCACGACCATGAAGCTGCCCCCACTGGCAGTTGGAGTCCACCCTTCCAACCGGGACGGGTGTGGAGTGAACCCATCTGACGTTCACGAGCTCATCGACAACATCAGTGGCGTTGGATGGGTGGATTCGAAAGTGAATGGCATAGCAGTTGAGGTTGAGGATTCGCACCGGAACTTCAACCAGCAGATCTGCTTGGCCGCTATGTGGTAGTCACACCAATTATGCACTTCGCCTGATCGTGCAGGAGGTTGCGCATGAAGGAGGCGCACTCACCCAGGACGGCAAACTGAGCCTGAGCTTGGTCCAGAAGCACGACCAGGCTTTCTACAAAGCCGCTACTACCGGCATTACGTTCAAGGTGCTGAACAAGGAGGTCGCCCGTCAATGGCCGGACCTCCTGCCAATGATCCAGCAGTATGGCAATGCAAGTTTACAGAAACAAGAGCACGAACTTCAGATGTTGTGCCGCCTGCATGCTTTGTACGTGGCCCAACAAGCAAAAGGGGGCGCAGTGTCGTTCGCTGAGATCAAACGGAAGGCTTTGCAGAGTCGACCGCCTTGCGCTGCTGCAGTGCCAGCTTTGTACAGCTTTGTTCTCAAAGCTAGTGGTGGCAGTACAGGTGAGCTCCTCAAGGAGACAGAGCGTTTCGTGAGACAGCGATGTTCTTCGGCGAGGTCGTTGGGGGCAGATCTTTGGGAGGTCTTGGCTCATGAGCCTAAAGGTTTCGCTTCTTCTGGCTCTTTGGCCTTGTTCAGACATGCAATGGTGAAGCTGGCCTACTCGTCGAAGAAGATGGGCAAGGCCGAATGCAAGAAGATGTTCAGTCACGACATCAAGCGTGATGTGGTCACGGCAGATGCTTTGATGAACGAACTTCGTTCACTGGCACGGCACCACGCAGATCCGAGTACTCCACAGGTGTTCATTGCCCAAGGCTTGACTGACCAGATGTTGGCAAGCTTTGCCATCAAGCTTCGTCTTCCAGACGAAAAGCTATATGAATCGTTCGATGAGATTTGCCATGACTTTGTCCTGGTCTTGAGGCACATGACTGGCCAGCCTGTCCCTTCTCGATGGGAGGCAGGGTTGAAGGAAGAGGAGAAGGCCAAGGTCAAAGAGAGTGATTCTCAGGCCACCCTGCGGGAGCTGAAAGAAGATGGAACCTTCAAGGATCCGGCCAAGGTGCTTGCTGAGATGGGGTTCCCGGTCGGATCGCACATTCGCCGCAAGAGTGACAAGACAGAGGCCGTGATCACGGAAGTGGTGGAAGACAATGTGAAAGTCTCAATTGATGGAGGCTTCTTCAAAGTCAGCATCAAGGAGTCAACTGTTTTTGTTTTTTTTTCAGGACGTATTTCATCTCATGGAGTTTTATTTATCTAATGCAATGGTAGGCCACAAGGGTTCAGCTTTCAATTCATGCAATCACATGTCCATGTTTCCTATGTCCATGTCATGAGAATGATCTCACGGTCACGTTTTCTCATGGACATGTATAGTGTGCACTCAGGAATTTCATGCCACGTCATGTCATGTCAGACCTTCACAAGAGTTCAAGTCAAAACACGCCATATCATGGACACAGCTCATGCGCCATAACACGCAGGACATTATGAATGGGATGTGGGCTACCTTCACTCCGCGTCCTGAGCGTGAGGTATTGCAAGATCTTGCCCAGTACGCCACGAGCCAGAGCTGGAACTACGAGGCCTCTTTGACTGCTGCCAAGATCACTTTGGAACTTGAGGACCTCTCGAAGAAGTACAAGCAGGATCAATGGCACGCCCTTGAGCTTCAACTGAAGCCAGGCAAGGTTTTGCAGGTCGTACAGCCCATCCAGAAGCACAAGCTCATCTTGGCGCCAACAACTTCAAAAGTCATGTTCAAGTGGGAGGGAGTTCCTGCCGCTGGCGTGAAGGTTGAGACCGACTGGGAGGATGCTTGCTCTTTCTTCCTGCTCGCAGATTCCAAGTTGCCAGGAGATGATGAGCCAGAAGATCCAAAGGATTGCAGCTTCTGCCCGTACTTCAGCGTGGAGAAGACCAGCAAGGAGGACGAGTCCAACATGGAGGTGTTCTGGGCCCATGGGCGAGACAGTACTTTGAGGTTTCCTCTTCTCCGCAACGCGAGGAAGCTCGAGACTGGAGAGCGGCTGATGATTTGGCAGGAGAAAGTGTCTCAGGCAGTGGAGCCTCTTGCTGCAGCTTCACCGGCCAAGCGGCCTGCACCGGAAGGCGGCCGCGCCAAGAAGAGGAGCAAGTGACGGCCAGTGATGGCAAAGCTCCACGGTGACGATTTTGCACTATGACCGATCTCCCATGTCAAAAGATAAATGCGCATGTCATGGATTTGCAGTCGTGGTTGTCATTTGTATAGGCATGTCATGGCATTTCTGTGCATGGATCATGTGTTTATGACACAGTTCAGTTGAGACTCTCATGAAACATGTCTTGTCACATGGGTTTTGTTTTCATGTCATGCTGCAACACACGGGTGATGTTTTCATGTCATGCTGCAATGTCAATGATACACGCCTAAATCCCAGCAGGTTCAAAAGTATCATCGTTCGTGTATATATACTGCAGATTCGTTTGGTGCCATGATGCGTGCAAGCTTTGAAGTGGGGTCAGTTTTGCAAGTGGCATGGGCTGGCCGGAAGGGGCGGGAGACCTGGGTTCCCAAGCAGAAGGTGGTGGAAGGCAAGGCATTCTTCTGCTTGGACAAGTGGGAGCATCGTGCCGTGCTCTTCTTCACAGACACCAAGCTTGACTTGAGAAAAGGGAAACACACTGGCTCGATCGATACGCCATTCTTGGATGAGCTGCTCAGCCAAAGGAACCGCGCTGCAGATGAAGCAGTGCAGAATGCGATTGAAGTCCCTGTCGATGGCGAAGATGAGCAGCAGCCTCCCAAGAAGAAGAAGAGGGCCAAGCACACGATTGAGAATCAGCACTTGGCCCCAGAGATTCTCACGATCGAAGTTGAGGGTGAGAAATTTGAGTGTTTGTTTGAGGGTTGCCACTCGTCAGTCATTTGGCTGGAGATGAGTGATGAAATCCTCTCTCATGTGGGCAAGAAGCTGGCTGCCTCGAATTCGAAGGCTCGAAAGTCACGGCCCTCATCACGGTAGTTGTGCTTCTCATGATTGTTGAAGACACGCAGCACGTCATGAGAGACATCTCACGATGCCACGAGGAACAGAAAAAAGTTCGTCATGTCATGTCAAACGAATGCATGCATGGATCATGTCATGTGAGTGATTTGTTATGTCAAACGAATGCATGGACCATGTCATGTGAGTGGTTTGTCTTGGCCATGTAAAACACGATTGCACCGATCATGTCATGTGAGTGATTTGTCATGGCAATGCAAAACAAGATTGCATGGACATGTCATGAGTGATTTATTGTCCTTTTTCGTTGTTGTGATTTGTTGATATAGGTTGTGTTGTTTGTTTACCGTTGAGGGACAAGCCTCCACAGACAAACAAAAACCTTGAGACAGATGGGATTGAGCAACCTGCATTCTCCACGCCGACCGCTTTCTAGTCAGCACGGCACGTGTCAACAGTTTTTGATATACAAGGAACACTGAAACTTCAAGAAGAAGAGCCAAGAAATGTCAAGAACACGCAAGCTTCAAGAACAAGAGTCAAGAAACATCAAGAACATTCAAACTTCAAGAACAACAGTCAAGAAATGTCAAGAACACTCAAACTTCATGCAATGAAATTATAGTGCAATTGCATTGTTTCAGAAGAACACTTTCTTCCGTCGCGCCGTGCAGTGAATTCATGAACTGTCGACTCATGAACATTGTCCAACATATTCCAACATATTTCACCCCCATATTTCATCATTGAAACACCACGTTCACCAAGACAGGATCATTCACAAATGTGTGATATATCACAGTTTTCATTTACCGATAAGAGCCATGGGACGCAAACTTCATTTCGTCCTCCTCGACAAGCGTGGCAGCATGGATGACGAGGAGTGCTTGCAATTCCAGCATTCTTACAGGGGGTTCTTACAGTGGTAAGGGGCGCGTGGTAGGAGTCTTGTCAGATGTTTCATATATCATTTTCTGTCCATCTTCATCTGCAGGATGACGCCGAGATGGAGAGCTTCCATCAAGCGTGTTTAACAACACGAATGGAGCAGGAGGAGGCTGGGTTGGGGAAGGACTGGGCAAGAGTTTACACGGAATGTAAATATGCGCTTGTGTCCATGACACGTCCATGACACGTTCATGACACGTTCATGACACGTCATGTCCACAGCCCATCCCGTGTCATGGCAGGGCAAGGAGTTTGAGTACAGCAACGCAGTCGCTGGCCTGACCTGGCAAAGGTCCAAAGGTTGGCGCATACAACTCCTGGAAAGCGGCAGCACCCTTTTCCGTGCAGTGGGCACCGGCCACAGACAGGAGCACAGTGAGAGCACATGGCACAATTGGGTTTGATGTTCGATTGATTGACGTGACGTGATGCATGGGTGACTTGCAATTGCGCCAGGAGAGTGGCAGTTCCAGACCTGGAACAATCGGTGGGTGCAATCTTCCTTGGAGATTGAGGCATCGGCATGTTGTCTCTTCACTCGCATGTTGTCACTTCATGTACCATGTGCCACTTCATGTTGTCATGCCATGCATCTTCCCAGACTTTCGCGTGCGCAGGTGGTCAGTGGATCAGAAGCTTCGGAGGAGGCAGGGAGACCGACAAGGTGAACACAATATTAGTTTTGAGGGCCTGAAAACAGACGGGGACAACAAGCTTGCACAGAACATGTCATGAGTGATTTGTTTTTTTCATGTTCATCTGCACGCGCTCCACAGGACCACCACCACCGTCGACGCCGTCGAAGGCATGCTCGAGGAATGGAGGTGCGCATGCAAGTCGAAACACTTCAAGAAGAACATGCTATATTGAAAGTTTGAGACTTCATATATCACCTCAACTCATTGAGACCTTGTCAACTCATTGATCTTGCCTTTTCCAGGAGGTGAAGCGAGAGCCAGAGCGGTCGCGCACCCGAAGTCCGCGACGGCCACGACAGGAGTCTACACTTCATGTCATGCTCATGTTCATGTCATGTTTCATGCACTGAACATGTACATGGAGATCTGGACTTGAGGAGCGTCCAGGTCGCCGCCACCGTCGCTCAGCCTCAAGGTCTCGTTCCAGAGCCTCACCAGTCCACAGGGAGCCGGCAGAGGCAGCACCAGAGGCACCAACAGAGCGAGCATCAGCAGCAGCAGCACCAGAGCGAGCAGCAGCAGCAGCAGCAGCAGATCCAGCCGTCCCTCGACCCGGGCCGTCGGTGGCACCCGAACACTTGGCTCCAGATGCATCGCAGCTCCCAAGGCCTGACTTTGGCCGGACAACGGCGCCGAAGGCCGCGACAACGGGAGCCTTTGCATCAATCAACCCACCGCCGCCAGCCTCGAGGCCGCCAGCAAAGACACAGCTGGCAACAAGGCCACCAGCGCTGGCAACAGCTTTGGGAGCAGCACCAAAGCGGCCAACGCAGGCTGCAGCAGCAAAGCCGCCAACACTGGCAGCAGTCCCAAAGCCGCCAACACCGGCAGCAGCACCAGCACAGGCAGCAGGGCATCCAACGGTACCACACTCAACTTGGGTCATGTTACATTCAGCATGTGACATGCAGTTCATTCAGCGGGTTCTCATTACTCATCTCAGCGCACTTCCCAGGTCCGTCCTGTGACTCCTGGCCCACATCGTGATTCAGCTTTGCTTCCAGGTCAAGGCCAGTGGTTTTCACGACTTGTGATGTTTCACGACTTGTGATGTTATATTTTATTGATCCATCCATGCGTTCATTGACAATCTCCTCATTGCAGGCCCTGGTCGCCACATCTTTGTTGCCGAAGGACGTGAGTGACGGCCTCATTACATGACATGCATTTCCTTGTATGCCATGGACCTCATGTTCAACTATGTCAAGACATGCCATGTCATGCCACGACATGGCATTCAGTGCCACGTTCAGCGCCATCCGCATTTAACCTGCCGCTCCTAGGCTGGAAGAAGTGACTGACCTCCTCAACCGCCTTCGACGTGGCGTCAGATCCCCAACGAAAGTGATTTGCAGACAACACAGAGGCAAAGGCAATTGGATTTGAGATGATTTGAGTAGCAACACGGTTTGAGTATAGCAACACGGGCAGATCTCAATAAGGTTCAAAGGTTGAGATTTATCTTATCTGTGTTGAGGCCTGATGGACGATCTGATGATCTTCTGAGGATCTTCTGAGCCGGTTTTTTGCGGCCTCCTGACGCCGCACGACCTTCATCCGGCTGATCATGAGCTGAAAAGGATAAAATCTTAATATACATAATTCTATAATATTATAAAAATATGACTAGACCCACACCTAAATTTTTATATAGTTATAAAAAATTGTACCTAATAACTAACATTTTTTTTAAAATATTATAGAAAATATATTTTTACAATATTATATAAATATGACTATGGACGTAATCATATTTTTATAATACTATAAAAATTTGATTACATACACAATCACATTTTTGTAATATTATAAAAATGTGATTTTCTATCGTAGTGGTTGCTGATACGATCAGAGACGAGTTGAGACACGTTTCAGACAATTTGGAACGACTTTTGTGAGCATTCAATCACTATGAGGCATTGCGTGTGTGAGACAGCGTGAGATGTGGTCAGTCAACTGCTAGAGATTTGTAACATCAGTTTGAGATGTGGTTCATTGGCCAACCCATGAAATTGTTTTGAGTTGTTGTTCACAGCTGTATTTGTGTTGCGCTCTATCATCACGTCTGCAGCAGTTCTTGTCGTTGCCATGTCATGTGAAACGCAATGAAACACAACACAATGCACATGCACAACATGTCATGAGTTCCATGTCATGGTCATGTCATGCTCATGTCATGCTCATGTGTTCCATGTCAATGCACGTTATCGCTGCTCATACCAGCCTGTTCAAGCCGGTGAACGTGATTTAGATTTGTAGAGTCCACACAGTTGCATTCATGGCACCAAAGAGGACACTTCATGAGGTGAATGAATCGAGCTCCAATGCGACCACCTCTGATTCGGAGCGCACCTTGCGGTTGGGAGATTGGCAGGCGATGCGCTCGCCGGTGTCGGCTGATTCTGATCCGATCGACCTTGAGGGTTAATCCATGCCATGTGCCACTTCCTCGGATTGAGCCTCCACTGCAGTTCGAGTGGGCGTGGTGCGGAAGCTGGACACGTG